GCTGGATGGCAGAGCAGGCTCTCCCTGGCATGTCATTGTGTTACAGAGAACAGTATACACAGCCACACACACACACACACACACACACACACACACACACAAGCAAAAGCCTCGGGCCAACAGCCTCGCACAAGACATCTAGCAGGACACAGATGGGCAGCGCAGCCCAGAGCAGGCGCGGCAGGGGCCGGGCCTAGAGCATCATTACCTGTCCTGCTTCCTGGGCAGAGTACTTCTGCAGAACTTAGGGCTAGCGGCAGGGGAGGAGAGAGGGCTAGAAGTCCAGGCAGGTAGAAAACAAGAGAAGGTACATTAGACTGGAAGGAAGGGGAGGCGGTGTTATGCACAGTGATCTGAACAATTTCCTCGTCCCCAGTGCGGGGGGGCCTGGCACTCCGCCTGACGTAAAGAAATGGTCCCCCTGGTGCCAGGCCGACCACCTATCCACTGCATGATCTACGACATACTCCCTGCCGGCGGCCGGCCGTCTACTCTGCCAGCGAGGGGTGGCAGGACTGGGGAAGGCAGCGGGGCTGGACACATCGGGTAAGATGCACAACTCCCAAGGCTGGATGCCTTTGCACGTGGAAGCATTAACTGTACCCCCGTGAGACTGCCAGCGGCTCGGAGCGCCAAGGAAACCCCACGCCGGCAAAGGTCATGGGAAGCCGAGGCAGGCTCCGCTCCAGTCCAACTGGCCTCCCCAAGGAAAGGCCTGCAGCAGTCCGAGAGAGGAGCCTCCCAGACAGAGCTTAACTACCCACTGGGATGCCTCACGTCCCCTTGCGGATTTCTGCCCCTAGCCAGAGCAGCGGCCTGGCACCCACCTTTCCGACAGCGTGGTCTTCACGCTGCTGGTCCTGACGAAGGGTGTCAGGGAGTCGTCCTTGGAGGAGGCGAGGAGGCCACTGGAGGAGTTGTGGCTCAGGCCCCCTCCACTGCTGAGGGAGATGTCGATGGACTCGCAGCTGGTGTGGAGGCTGCTCACGGACTGGAAGCCCAGGCTGTCCTTGCTCACGGCCGAGGAGCTGCTGGCGTGGGTGCCCCATGTGAGGCTGTTGGAGGGGCCCGAGTGGGCTGAGCTGGGGCTGGAGGCTAGAGGGGACTGGTTGAGGTCCACATTCTTACTGTAGAGGGGACTGCTGCTCCCGCTGCTCAGGACGCCGCTGCCCGACGGGGAATCCAAGTTACTTTGCTGGGTCATGGTGGCGTGAGGGTTGGAGATGACCACTGAATTTTTCATGTTTTCAGCTGTGGCCATGGGCGCTTGCTTGGAAGGCTTCCCACCAAAGAGTCTGTGAAGAGACAAAGGGGAGTGGGGAATGGACACCCCGTGCCAGGAGACACTGGTGGTGGTGGTGGCTGTTAGAGAAGGGTGGGGCAGAGGCACCTAGGAGATGCTTGTGCAGGGGGCACAGGCCCTACTGAAACAGCCTTCAAGAGGGACTGGTACTTGAAGCTCTGGGCTGCGTGCGTGGGGCCCTGACTCTGTGGGGGACAGATTTCCTACAGGCCTCGATAAGGCCTGGCTTCCCATGCTTTCTGTCATTCGACTAACTGGAAAATCCACCCTGAGTCCTGAACAAAGCCATCTGGAGAGGGTGAGAAGCTGTCTTCCTGGCCTCTGCGCCCAGGACCCCAGGCACAAAGCAGGCAGTCTGTTCCTGAGGGCTCGACTCAAAGGGATTCCGTCCCTTTGATCTCTAAGCACAACAGGCAGCATCGAGACCTGGAGACTAGAGTTGGAAGGGCCAGGGAAATCCTCTCTGTTGATGTGGCCTCCCCTCGAGAGCCCAGCCTGAAAGATTGGCCTTTCAGGTCCGGATGGCTTGTGGTAGCCAATGATAAGACACAGCACCCTGGCTGGGTTCACAGGCCTTTAGCCCCAGCAGTGGGTGTGAGTGGTCTTGCTGTGACAGACACAGGACACACGGAGAGGCCACTTCATGAGGCAGACGGCCCTACTGCTCATTCCCCAAATCTGTGTCATCAGAACACAGACAGACAGACAGGTCCTGGCAGCTGTGCCTCCTCCTCCTCCTCCTTTGCGGAGGAGCTCTCTGGTAACCCAGCAGGGTGGTGCCCAGGTCAGGAGGGCTTCCCCTAATGCCAGGGCTTCCTTCTTGATTCTCCGCCCACCAGAGAGCACACAACAGATCCCTCTGGAAGTGGCCAGCCTATTCTGTATCATGGTTTGTCTTTTACCCGGGTACACGGGGTTCCTGGTCTCTGCCCTGTACAAACAGCCCAAAAGCATCAACCATGATAAGAACAAATTAACAAACGGATCCTCAGGACCATGCCCCGTGGAATCTAGAGGGGGAAAGAAAATGTGTTCTTTGCCTGCCGAGGAGGGGAATAGCTCATCATGAACTCCTGGCTTCAGGGCATATAAATCCCACGAGACCCTCACGACTCAGAAGACTAACTTGCTCCATCGCCGAGCCCTGGCCAATAGTTAGAAGAGCACCGTCGGATCATGTCCTTGTGTCTTTCCGACGTTGCTCCTGATCCTGTGCCAGGAAACCCTCTTCACAGGAAAGGCCCAGTCTTCTGTCTCTTCGCCCTTCAAGTCGTTCGGAAAGGGTTCACGCACGTCAGTCACCATTCCCCCTTCCCTACACCAAGCACTCACTGCCACCGGTCAAGGCTGACGCACAGCAACCCCTGGGGTTTCCCAGGCTGTACTGTTCACAGGAGTAGGAAGCCCAGTCTTTCTCCCAAGGAGCTGCTGGTGGTTTCAAGCTTTGGACCATGTGGATCACAGCCCGACATGTAACCACTATGTCACCACCAGGTCAGCAGTTAACTACCAGCAGTCCTGCGGGAGAATGACGGGACTTTCTACCCCTGTAAACAGGTACAATCGCGGAAATCCACAGGGGTCGCTTGGAGTCAGCTCTGACTGGATGGCAGTGACCACACTAAGGTACCTGGGGGGAACTGAGACCACCTTAGTGATTAGGGAAGGGGGGAGGGAGGAATCGGCAGAAAGATGCTCAACACCGGCTCCGGGAAGCTGCATGCATTTTCAGGTATTCTTTTACACACTAGCCTAAGGGGCTGGTAAAATGCCTTTGTAGTTACTGAGGGACATCTACCATACCAGAGAGCGAACGTTACACAGGATACTTGAGGCAGAGAAGCAGCGAAAACTCGCAGTTACAAGGCAGTCGTTAAAACAACAAAGAGAAGCCCAATAGGATCTCCCCCTTTAAAAAAAAATCATTACTGAGATTCTAATAATCAAGTCTCGACAAAGAACCATGAACTCTTTCATTATATCTTTCATGTGGAATGCGTCTTCTGAAGTCCTTTCAAACGTTTCTCTTCATCCCCAAATATGTACCCAGGCACCTGATTCCCCACCCCCTTCTGCTGCTTAATCGTTCTTCTTTGGGACTTTCTGGTTCTTATGACAAGGTTTCTGGGCACGTGGCTGGCGGGATGTGTTCAAATGCATGGTTGCAGTGTACAGTCAGCCCCGTGGTCACGTGACCTGGTGCGAGGGATAGATCTTTAACCCACAGACACTGAAAACCCAGTGAAGGGCAGGATTCTCATCCAGAAATCTCCAGCCGCCATGGAACTCGGGGAGGGGGCAGTGGAAGCCTTTCTAAGGCAAAAATCCATGTTTCCTTTTCAGAATCCTAAGAGTTTGTTTTGTTTTTAAGGAAGTTCAGATTTCGAGGAGGAAGGTGAAATTATGCATGTATTCTAAGAAACCAAGTTTTTTAAGGAAAAGGGGGTAGGGGAGCACATGAAGCTATTTGAGACACCAGATCTGGTCAAGACCACTGCCTAGTAACGTGGAATTCAGTCACAAGATTATCAAGGGTGGGAAAATGGGTCTACTACCCCTGCTGAGCAACTCCCCCAGACCTAAGGGTGAGTGGAGACCTCCTCTCATGTGGTTACTGACTTTTATTGAGTGCTTCCAGGGGGCAGACAGAGCCACCTGGAATTGGCTTTCCACAACCATCCTCGAAAAGATAGCCAAACCCAAGTTCACTTCCATTGAGTTAACACCTAGCAACCCTTTCGGAGCCCTGGTGGGGTAGTGCTGGGCTTTGATCTACAATGTCAGCAGTTCAAAACCGCCAGTTATTCCTCAGGAGAGCACTGAAGCTTTCTGTACCACCCTCCACCCCCCAAAAATTCACAGCCTCAGAACCCACAGGGGCGGTTCCACCCTGTCCTCTGGGGTCGCTATGAGTCTATATGGACTGGACAGTCGTGAGTAAGAACCACCCTACAGGACACGGTAGAAAGTGCCTCAGTGGGTTTCCAAGAATACAACTCATTTTTCACCCTCGGAGTGGCTGGCGGCTTCGACATTGTAGATTGAAGCCCAACACATAACCACTACACCATCCTAAGAGGTGGAAATGAGCATCCCTTGGTGCAGATGAGGAAGCTGAGGCACATGTTTGTCAAGCCAGGCTACTGGGTGAAGCGGACCCAGGGTCTGCTTTTCGTTCCAATATGGGAAAGCAGTGGACTGAGTATTTGCTGGTAGGAGCTGACCAGGCAGCTTCACCTGTGGACGACGCAGAGGAGAAAGACGGCAACTGCTCTGAGAACACGTAATGACTCATACAGGTTGCCACCCCACGCGTTCACCACTTACCTGCGGAGCGTGGGCGAGGCCACGTCGGGGTACTTAGCCCCAGGCTGGAGAGAGGCCTGAGCTGCCGCCGCACTGGACACAGGCTGAGCTGCCGGGTTCACTTTGACCGAGTTACAGGAAGCCACGCTCTCGCTGTCGGATGAGATGCCTTTCTCCTTATCCGTCTGGTTGACGAGACCTGGGAGGGAGCTGCCCAGGGCTGTTCGGGAAGGCTCCCTCAGCTTGGGCACCGGCAGCCCGGCGGACTTGCTACTGATGTTGGAGTCTATGCTGCTGGTGCTGGACCGGTTCCCAGCTCCGCTCCGGCTGCCAGACTTACTGGGCCGGGGCAGGCTTCGGTACTGCAAGTTCGTCCGAGAGCTGAGAGACAGGTAGCCGTCCTCCTGATGCTGAGCCCCATCCATGCTGGTCTTACGGCCCGTAGTCCGGCCCACCAGTGCAGACGACTTGGGGATTTTGCCCAGTGTGGCTGACCTGCTGGTGACCGTGGCTCCACTGGCCGTGATCAGGGCCAGGCCGGCAGGCGAGCCGCTCTGCTTCTTGAAGCCGAAGCTGTTGGCGTTGGCGGTGGGCGTCCGGGAGCTGCTGGCCAGGGGCTTTTTGGACTCATCACCACTGCTGCGGCCCGCATCCGATGGGGAGCGCTTCACCTGCGAGGCTTTGGGCGAGAGCCGGCCTTTCTCAGACACCTTGGCGTCGTCTGTCTTCCCTGAGGGAGAGAACGGCGAGGTTAGCCTGCCAACAACGAGGCCGGCTCCCGGCTCAGGCAGCTCGCCTGGTGAAGACGCTCCCCTCCTCTATCGAATGAACGGGTGCCCCCCCCCCCCTCCCTGGGGAAGGCAGGACCCTTGGGAGGCAGCAGAGAGCGCTTTTGATAAAGAGGGTTTTGACTGTAACTATCCCTGGGAGGCTTTTAGGAGACGTCAACGATTGTACTCCTTTGCAAAGCAGGTAACCTTCACCCAGGGGAAAGCAGAGCCAGAGAATCTCGGGGCTGTCTGGGAAAGAGACGCTGCCTTGCCAACGTTACCCCTCTGTCTAGTAAAGGCAGCCCCCCTAGTGTTTCTGCAGGGCAGTCCGGCCTTCTTGTGAACACGCTGCCTTCGTTTACGCCCACCACCCATGGTCATCGCATCGGTTCTGGCTCATAGTGACCCGGTACAGGGGGTCCAAAGCTGTACATTTTTATAGGGGAGCAGACTAGCCTCGTCTTTCTCCCACAGAACAGCAGGTGGGTCTGAACCGTTTACCTGGCAGTTAGCAGTACAGCGCGTCCCCGGCAGCACCACCTAACACATCGCCTAAATCATGGACAACATCAACCTCATGCACCCACACCTGGCAGCCATACACCTTGAATAGCCTGTCTGGGGGCCAAGCCCACACTCCTCAAGAGATGACCATCGTCCGGCCTTAGTGCTTCTGTCCTTACACGCTCCCAGCTGGAAGCAGTAGGAATGTCAGCTCTGGGGAAAGCGGAGGACTGGCAGTCTCGACCTCGCAAGGACACAGCGAGCACCTAGGGGGACTTGAGACTATGTCATCAGTCCTTGCTAGAGCGACTACGGTCTCGCTCGTCACTGAGACACCTGCAGACACAGACCTGCATCCTCTGTACTCACCAGTCCCCGGCGTCTTCAGTGTGCCCGCCGGGGCAGCCGGCTTCGTCCTGGGCATGGTGATGCCCACCTGGGCCGCCGTCATGCCTCGCCGCCACGAGCCTGTCTGGGAGACGACGGCCGTCTTCCTGCCCGAGGTGCTTTTGTCGGACTCATCGGACACGTCCGAGGGGTTCCGCCGCCACTTGGCGCCTGGCTCCATCCTCACGCCGCTGTCTGACCCTCCGTCGGATTTCTTGATCTCATCACCAGACCACAGGGAGGTCCTCTCCACCTGCGAGTGCTTCTCGGTGTCCGTCTGTGGGCAGAGCCAAACTCCCCAGTTAGGCCTCCCCAAACCCCAGGCCTGGCGGCCCCTCTGCCCAGACACAGGGATGCCCACACACTGGACCGGCTAAGAGGGTGGGGGAGAGAACAAATTGCTTTTGGCAATGTTTGGGGTCTCTGTACCCTCGACGGCTGATTTTTTGGGTCTAAAGAAATTATACGAATGTGTCTGAGAAGGAGGAGAAGGGAGGAGAGTAAAGGGGGCCGGGGGTGGGGGGCAGTTTGAGGGAAAGGGCCCTGAAGGGGAGAGGCAGTGGGGCTGACCAAGAGATGGAGGAGGAATGCAGCCACCAAATGCAAGCCCTGTTCCTTGGAGAGCAGCCGCCTGCAACTGCCTGCCTGGGTCCCTCTGAGCGCTCAGCCTCCGGCTGCTTTCCTGTCTTTGTTCTGCCACCAGCAGCCGATCCCTGGGTTTTGCACAGCGCCACAGCCTCACACACGCAGCCAGCAGGCAAGGGCGGCTGCTAGTTTCCCTCAAAGCGGTGGGAAGAGTTCCTCAAACGCCACCTCACCAAATGCTGAAAGCCAGTGCCTGTTCCCTGAACCCCCCACACCCAGCTTCATTGATATGCCTGGCTTTGCACTCCTGATGTGATTCCATTCAGACAGGGGGCATAATTAGTCAGATGGCTTTGGAAGAGCCCTGACCCCATGGAAGCCAGGAAGGCACAGAGTGTGATGTTAATGATCACTGTGGTTCAAAGGCACAGTTAACCAGCAGGCTCTGAGGGGCTTCCTCTTGGGGGTGGGGTAGGGAGGACACAGCAGGTACCAGGAGGGAGAAGTAAGCTGCATGGGGAAGGGACTCATTCCCATTTCCCAGGTTGTGCTGGGTTTTGTTCTCAGAAACAAGTCCCACGCGGGGGTCTTCAGAAAGCTTGTGGAAAGATCATCTGTCTTAGGAGAGAACTCCCCAAGCAAACCACGGCCCATAGGTTTCAAACACTGTCTCACCAAAATTAACTCGTGACCATAGTAGGCCTGGACAGGACCGAATTGGAGGCATCAAATTTACGGTGAAGCGTGAGTAAAAGAAGCGTGAGATCAGAGATGCATTATGTAAAGTTTACGGGGACAGTGTCCCAAAGACACTGGTGGTGTATGAACAGATAACTTATTTTAAGAAGGGACCAGACAAGGACGCAGAAGGTCCACATCAATTTGCATGAAACAGCTGGTCTTGTCCCTGAAGGCGATCGACAATTAACATCAGAAACAAGAGCCAACCCCACCGATGGCTCCTTTGGTTCAGGTGGCACAATTCTGACTGAAAAATTAAAGTTGAGCAAGTGGGATCAAGATCCTAATGCGTTTCTTGAAAGAACTGTAACAAGGGATGAATCGGCTTTACTAGTACAGTCCTGAAGACAGAACACAATGAAAGCAATGGCTAACAAGAGGTGGAAGTGGTTTCTAGTCAAAGCAAACGTAGACTTATCACGAGCAATGGTCGCAGCAGCAGTGTTTGGGGGATGCTCAAGGTACTTTGCTTGTTGACTTTCTCCAGGGCCAAAGAAAGATAATATCTGCTTTTTATGAGAATGTTTGGAGAAAGTTAGCCAAAGCTTTAGCAGAAAAATGCCCAGGGCAGCTTCATAAGAGTCCTCCATCACCTCAAGGTTCCTGCTCATTCCTCTCCTCAAACAAGGGCCAATTTTGGGGGATTTTCAGTGGGAAAGAATTAGGCATCCACTTCATTGTCCTGATTTGGCTCCTTCTGACTTCTTGTTTTCTAATCTTGAGATAAAACTTAATATGTTTCATTTTACGCTCTTAATTCCACTTTTCCACGCACTGTTCGAAGTCCTCTCACACTATAATGAACTACCAGACGAGACAGTATCAGCAAGCTGGGGGATGAAAACCAAGCCAAACGCTGGCAAGCATTTTGAAGTAGTTTGGATTACTCCCTCCGGTGACTACCATGACTGCGAGGGACCAAAGCGAAATACAGACAGACAATCAACAGCCTCCCCCTCACGACCACGGCCGGCCGTTCTCCCTCTCCTTCCCTCCTCGGGAAAGCGGCTTATCCACTGCAGCCACCACGTGTGCCTTAGCTGTGCGGTCATTGCCATGCGCACACCAAGTCACAGCTGTGTCCTGGGCACCAGAGACACAGGAGAAGGAAGACACCCTCCCCGGCAGGAAGCAGCTCATCCTGCTGTGGGAAAGGGCACTGAGGACGGGGTTCCCACATCTGGGTGCAGAACGGGAGGCCCAGTCAGGGTGTTAGGAGTAAAGCCAAGTCCCATCAAGTCGACTGACTCACAGCAACCCCGTGCATGATGGTCAAAATTAATAAACAAATAACACACACTGCCTTTACACACGACCACACGGGTGAACAGACCGTGTCATCGGATCACGGTGACTGTCTGGTCCAGGAGAGCGAGGAGATGGGGAGGTAAGGTGTCTTTATCTGCATCACACAGGCGAGGGCATTACAGTGACCCCCTTCCTGCCTCAGGTACCTCCGCTTACAGGAATCTCTCCTTCTTCAAATGCTTCAGGCCAGGCCTTCAGCCAGAATCGACCGAAGGCCCATTGCTGTTTGCCAGGTACCAGAGTGAATCGGAGACTCTGGGGCAAATCTGATTCCAACTTTTCATGGAGTTTATGAGCCAACAAGGAAAACAGCGATTGGCCAAATGGATGCAAATAAACATGTAATTTTAAGAATGTTATATATTTATATATATATCAAGAAGCCTAAGAGAGAAGTGCAGGCACAGATTTAATTTATTCTATACTGATGGGAGCAAACATGCTTTTTGAAGTACCTGAGAGAATGAGGGAGGGGAAAAAAAGTACCAAGAGTTTAGGAAATCGCATGTGCAAAGACCCTGAGGCACGGGAGAGCCCACCTTTGAAAGTCTTCATTCATTCATAAGTATTTGCCTGGTGACACTGTATGCCAGACTAAGTTGTTGGCTCTGGAAATACCACAAAGAACAAGACCAGCTACAAGTCATTATCCTACTGGAGCTCTGGGTCAAGTACATTTTAATACCCTCTAAGAGGTACTGGAAAAACTCATTTTGGCACAGATACCACACCCTGTCAGAACTGATTCGATGGGCCTAGCAGCAGCAGCAGCAACCTTTTGAGTGACTGCATTATTTATTCTTTTACTTTGACTGTATCTTATTTCTCCAAATCAAAGTGCAATGGTGCCGCTAGCAGCAGCAGAAGTGGGAACAGTTAAATGTATTGAGCGAGCACTTACAAGGTTGCAGATACTGTGGGAAATTTTAATTTAATCCTTAGCCCAAATCCCTCCAAAAGTCCTAGGAAGAAATTATAATGATCACTTTCCATCTTACATGAGGTAGGAAGTGCAAAAGCAAGTTGCCCAAGATCACATGGCAATGAGGTGGACATGCGGGATCCCAGCACAGGGAGTCTAAGTGCAATGACCGTCTTCTGGCCACAAGTTAGGCAAGAGGCGTATCTGCATGCCCAGCCTCGCCTTACAGCATGCCCAGTGGACTCCCGGCCCATAGTGACTGGTTGGCTGGTCGGGTAGCTCTGGAGGAACCATTTACTGGGTGCCATGCTCCAGCCCAGCCTCCTCCAGGACCCCAAAAGGCCCAAGACCAGGGCCCGAGTCCCCTCCTCTGGAAAGAGCAACCATCCAACCAGCTCTGAAGCCCCACACTTAGACCAGGGAAGCAGCCTTCCAGCTCTACTCTGAACAGCTGTGCGTTTCCCCTCGACCACTTCCTCCCTCGCAGTTCACATGCACTCAGCATACCCTTGCTGAGCTATGGGCCAGGCCATGCCCGTGGTGGCCCCACCGTGCATCGATGGAGTCATTCGCAGAGCCTAGAGTAGAAGGGCCAATGTGAAACCCACCCAGGGCCATATCCCCTGCTGTAGCCTCCCCCTTCTCCATTTGCCCAGGATGTCTGTCAGGCACTTCCTCCTGTCTTATGAAGGCATTTCTTATTGCCCCGACCCGGAACTCCACTTAATCAACTGGCAAGGAAGGTGGCGGAAGGCCTGGATGCCGCCATCCCAGCTTCAAAGAGCAAGGAGGTGGAAGGCGTGGAGTGGGAGGTTTGGTGGCAAGTATGGAGAGGAGGAGGGGCTTTGATGTCACAGATCGGAGTTCAAGTCCTGGGCACAGCCAGCCATCTGCTGTGTGTGATCCAGAGGAAGTTGCTCAACTTCTCAAAAACCGTGACTCGGTGTAAAGAATGGGATGAGGATGAGCAGGTGTCTTAAAGGGATGATGGTGAGTGGGCTCAGTGAGCTGAGCAGGGAGAGACTCAATGAACAGTGGCTCTTAACGTGGCCGCCACCAACTAATCCTCACCATCACCATCTCAGAAAGCCACCAACACCCCGCCGTCCCCCTCCTTTGGTATTTGTCCCAGTTTTATCCTGCAGTGGGGCGGGCTTGAGTCACAGGCCTTCCCAAGCCAGGGGCACTGCCCATGTTTTCCTTCAACTGGCTGACGTTGGCACGCCAGTCCTAACACAAATGGTCCCCAGCACCGTCAGCAGCATCCCACCTCCTGCCACCTATCAAGCCAGACCCTGTGCAAAGCCTCTTGGCATGTATGATTTGCTCATTGCACGTTCTGCGGTTGAATTACCATCCATCTTTGATGGAACTGGGAGGCGGGGGTGTAATGAGGAAAACGACCTGCCCTTAAATCACAAGCAGAGCATGGTGAGCAGACAGAAGGGGAACCCCTCTTCCGTCACAGTCAAACCCTGTTCTTGCACCTACACTGACACCCAGAGGCCCCACAGGCAGGGCAACTACGAAGACCCCAGGCTCTCTCATGGCCACACAGGCAGGGGAGTTTCCCACAACATTCAAGATTCGATTCCCTATCACAGCAGGATATAAACGGATACAGTTCTACCTTTCCTTTCATGCATGTGATTACAATTTTCCTGGAAAGTGAAAATTAAAGGAATCTTGACGGGATTGTCCTTTGACACCCAGAATGGCACCTCTCGCGAGACAGAGGACCACTGACTGCTCAGGGACAAAATGCCGAGTGTGCTTTACACAGTGCTTTGCCACTGTCTTCAACATACAGGAGGGCTTCCAAAAGTCAGGGGAAAAGAGAATTAAAAGGTAGTACATTTTTCAGGTCAGGAACTAAACTCAGCCCCTGGGGAGCTCAGAAGGGCAGCATTTCGCCAAGGACACAGTTCAGGGATTAGGAATGGAGCAGAATCAGAGCTAGAAATCACTGTGAGAAAGTGGGGTAGCATGGGCCTGGCCCATGGAGGGAACTGAAAGAGATGAGTGGAAAGAGAATGTGAATGAAGCGCCGAATGTCCAACGGATGATCTGCTCTGTGAACCTTCTCCTACACGGCACTACAAAGCTTTAAAATGAAAAAGTCCCGACAATAATGGATTTTCCCATGAACATTTTGAAGCCCCCCTGAAAATGCTGCAAAATGCTTCTAAGAGAGATGAAAAATGCACTCAACTTTCAGTCACTGGCATAAATGGCACAGGGAAGCAGAGAGACAAGTCCCCCAGCGAATCCAGGTCACTTTGGGGCAAGCACCAAGGATCAGGCTCTGAGAGAAAAACCTGCTCTCTCTCACACTCACCCCTCAAGATAGATCTAATTGCCCTTATTTTATGGATAAGGAGGCAAAAGCCCAGAGAGGCTGACAAGCTTATCCAAAGATGTGGCGGAGTGCAACGCTCAGCCCAAGGTCCCCTGACTTCAAAGTCCACACCGTCCCCACTCTCGCTAGCCCTTCTCTAGGAGAGAGCTGGTCAAGAGGCTCTCACATCTCACTCGGGGCGGGGTGGGAGGTGGGGGTTGTCCTTTCCCCGACTCGCTGAGTCTGGGCCCCTGGGCAGGGGACCCTGCACTGCTGGTGCATGCCCAGTACTCTGGGTCCCTGAGGAAAACAGAGCCACTCACACACAAAGGGGGCGTCCATCTCCAGTGGCCGCTCCTCCTCTTCCCGTCAGCTACCTGAGGCTGCTCCCGAGGATTCCCAAACAATAACCCCTCTGACGTCCTCTGAGCTCGTCCTTAGAGGTGTCTCAGAAAGGAAAGCCCAGGCAGGCAGTCTGTCCGCAGCCTGCTTTCCCAGCCAGCACTCAGGGTCACGCCTTGCCCAGTGGAGTGTGCACCTGTCTATGACAACAGAGCTCAGGACAGGCAGCACTGGGCACAGGACTGCAGCACACGTCTTCTGGCCGCCTAATGTGGCTCAGAGAGGGGTAATGGCCCTTAGCGCACACGAGGCTCACAGTGATGGGGGAGCGGGAGGGCGGGAGGCTGCAAAAAGTGCTGATTCAAGAACACGGAGCCGCGCTCCAGGCAGGAACAAAGAGAAGCCATGGGAAACCCACTGAGGAACTCAATCTGCATAGACATCTTAGTTCCTGTTGGCTCGAGTCTGCATTTACCGTGTCCCAAGACCTAATTCCCCCGGGTCCAATACTAACATTTGAAATTAGGGTAGCTTCCTAGAAAAAAAACAAACTTGACCTTCTGAGCTTGGTCAAGAGGCCTGTTTGTGGCCTCATTCGTAGGGTGAAAGCCAAGCGCTATTCACAGAGGAACAGGGTCCTGGCATTAACCAAATTCAAGTGCACCAAATCGCGGGCGAATTCCCAACGCTGGCCCTGTAATCAATAAGGAATACAGGAGCCTGGTCTGGCTTTGTGCCAAGGAAAGGGGAACAAAGGCCCCCAGGAGAGACATCGAACCCCACCTTCTATCAGAGCAGGTCGGCTCTCACTTTGCAAACACGCCAACGGGAAGCCTCCCTGTTTCTCCGAGCTGACTCCCAGTCCCCCTCGATGCAGTCCTCCGATGCCTGCCCGTCCGCCTCCCAACTCCAGAGGCCCAGGGGTTCTTTTCTTGGGGCCTCACGTCAGTATCTAAGAACAGTCTGCAGTCTGGGCCAGACTCTTTCCATAAAATGACAGCACATCTCGGGGCAAAAAATGACCGTGCCTACGAAGGTAAAAGAAAACCGGTGGCCAGCGACTTGTGACAGACACGGCGGTGGTGGGAAGCTGGCAGGTGGGCTGTGGGTGGGGGGATCCCCCGATTCTTCTCACTACCCATGAAACCCTCCCTGGGCAGCGAGGCTTCATTTGTTGCGGGGGTGATGTATAAACCCGTGACGGAGGCATAGACGTCATTGTAGCCGGACGTGCGCAGCTTGAATACGTTTTGTAGACTCCACAGACTTTCCCCGTCTCTACCACTCAGATAAAGACACAGAACACAGCCAGGTCCTCCAAAACTCCTGGCCCCCTTTGCAGTTGCTTGCTCAGTATTCTTTTGGGGTTCATTTTAGCACCGGCTGCCACACACACCCCACTCACACCCCTGCCTCGCAGCGAGATAGTCTGACACACAAGAAAACCCGAGAAGCGGCAGCCCGTCGCAGAGGCGGCAGTCTGCCAACGCTCATCTGCATTCGCGTTTCTGCGGGTCAGCACTGCTCCCCCAACTTGGACAGATCCTTTCCCTGGGGGATCCCTGAAGGGGCTGAGAAAGGTCCAGGGCAGCTCCTGTTTGTATAGAGCTACCCGCAGCTGGGGAAGGGGGTGAAGGGAGGGGCAGTGAGCACTCTGCCGTCCCTGAGACGCCCTGATGGTGGGAGGCGGTCATGAGAGGGATCCTGGAGGGCCAGTGCCCCTGTGAGAGAACTGCCATCCATGCCACAGTGAGGAGACTGTGGTTGGTTCAAACTCATGGGGGGGGGGGACCCACGGGATGGAGCAGAGCTGCCTGGAGGGTCTGGCCGTATATAAATCTAATGGGAGCAGACGGCCAGATCAGTCCCCTGTGGAGCAGTCACTGGGTGAATGTGAGCTCACTGCCAGCCTCTCAGCGAGTGGCCAAGCGTTCGGACCACTGTTCCAGGCCTTTATGTAGTGAGGCTGGCACCTGACTTTCTCACGAGTACCACGGGCTTCCCAAACCAACCCCTGCCAACGGGCGAGGGTGCCGAGAGGGGAAGGAACGGAAAGACGTGCACACAGGCAACCGGGCAGGCATTCTGATGTGCGGCGGAGAAGCGGACATCAGTGTTCACTGCACTCTAACCACCGGATCTGTGCATCCAAAGCGGGGGTGGGGGGTAGGGGGTGGGGGGGATGGTGGAAAACGCCAGCCGCCCACGGCCAGATCATGCCACCCGCGCATATGGGGCGTATGTGCTCAGACGTCCACTGACGGTTGCCGTGTGGAGAATGGAGGTGTGGGGGTGGTCAGGGAAGCAGTTACCTTCTGATTTTCTAGAGAAACCAGACACACGCTTCCTTCCATGTGCCATAAGCCCATTTTAGAATCCTGACAAGGAATTCGGCTTACAAGAAGAGTGATACTGGGGGCCACAGAAAACACACTGGCCAGGGCCTGGGACCCAGGGACTGGCAGCCCCCAACCCCTGGCGGTCCAGCCCAGGGTCCCCAACCTCTGTCCCCACCCCATCACTTCTGCTCTGTGACCTGCAAGGAGCTCCCAGTGGCCAAGGAATACACATCCTAAAACTGCTACGGGGCCCAAATCTCCCCCAGCCCCCATCATTGTAAACAAACGAGCCAAGTGGAAAACTGAGGCCCAGAAAGGCAATTCACCAACACCACAGCTGTGTGGCCATACCTCCCCTGACCACTGCCTCGCTGCGTAGGGGACCCAGAACCGGGTGTTGCAACGACAGGAAGCATCTACTCAGCCCACAAGCCCAAAGCTCCCGGCTGGGAAGGCCCTCGGTCCTTACCTGTGCATCCAGGTTTCTGCGAGATGAGGCAGGTGTGTTGGCATAGGAGCTGATGGAGGAGCTGGTGTTGATGTCATCAGTGCTGAGGTTGTCTATGGTGTCGCTGATCCCGCTGCTGACGGAACTGCTGTCATCCCAGCTGCCGAGACAAACACACTCTGAGCACCCGAACTGCAGGCACTGTCTGCTCAGGCCCCCTCCCCATCTCCTCCGGACACCCAGCCAAAGCGCCGCTCACCTTCCAGGGTAGCCTCCGGCGCTGCTGTTTGGGGTCAGCAGGTGGCTGGAGTGGCTGCTATCTGCCCTGACTTTTCCATGGGGACTTTACAGAAAGCTCATCGCTACTTCCCAGGCTTAGCTGCAGAGCCTATGCTGAGAGGGGACCCAAGGGAGATTCCCGAGGGGGACCCTGGGGGGCAGCTTGGGAAGAAGAGCTGCTGCGTAGATTCTCCGAATGCCACTCCTGGAATGGGTGCCAAGGGAGGGGCATGGCAGACGTCAGCAGAGCCATGGACTCCGCCCATCCGTAGCTCTCTATTAATATCCCAGGCGACGTCTAAAATAGAGCTCTTCCTCTCTCACCCCTCAGCCCACTGGGATCACCCCCCATCCGCCCCAGCAGCTCAAGCCCAACTCTGGCACTGGCCCTGCAGTCTTGTTCTCACCACCTCCCGCCTCCCTCCATCGCTGGCTGTGTCACCTCTCTTTGCAACCTGTACCCACAGGTGCCCTGCTCTACTCTGCCTGGCTCATTGCCAACAGGCCAGGGGTCTCCGGGCCCCATTGCTGCCCCCTAGAACCCCATCCTCCCCACAGCAATCCTTCTCAAACCTAAGTCCAGAACTGCCATGAATACCCTTCCATGGTCTCTTGAGCACTTAAAATCCAAACTCTTTGCACGGGCCCACGGGGCCCTCTGGCTGGGCCTCCCTCTCCAGCCCCGGCCTGTAGGCTGGCGCCATTGCCCATACATTCCTTCTGGGCAAGGACCCTTCTTAGCTTCCGGGCTCTGCAGGTGTGGTGTCCCTCTTCCTGACACCTGTTGTTATTTCCGTCTCATCTTCCAGGTCCTTGACCAAGGTGTCACCCCCTTGGAAAGGCCTTCTCCTAGACACTCTACAAGACTCCCACCCACCCCAGGTCCCATCAGCCCCCTTTCTCTCTGCAGCCTTTAGAGAGTCTCCTCTCCTTGTTTGGCAGGTGGCAGACACAGACCAGGTGTGCAAGGAATATTTGGCGATTTAAACTCAGGAGGATGAGAAGCTGCTGCTGCTGCTGCGTAGACTCGGACTCACAGCAGTCCTACCGGGCAGAGTGAGGCAACTCTTGGGTTTTCGAGACTGTAAAACCTTTCTAGAAGCAGACAGTGCATCTTTCTCATGAGAAGGGGCTGGTGGTTCTGAACCACTGACCTTGCCGTTATCAGTTTAATGCCTAGTTGATGGAGCGAAAGAGGACACCTGTTTCTCTGTGGCACAGGTAGAGAAACTGAGGCTTAGTGAGGTGAGACGCCTTGTACAAGATCAGGTGGTAGAGCAGTCTAGACACAGGCGCTGACCCAGAGCCACCCTTTGTCCAGAGACACTGGCTGACTTGCCATGACGTCGCTCCTCAGTACACACACAGCACAGGTTGCCCTACACACTCCCCCAGGAGGAAGCAGAGGCTTGGGGCCCAAGAAGCTACCATCGGCTATCAGCCAGGTCTGTCTGAGACCAAAGCGTGGTCTCAGCCTCCACAGGATATCACATAGGAAAGCCAAAGACATGCTAGGTGGCTGGCTTTTCAAAAGCCTCCAGCACTTGCACGGCTTCCTCTAACCCAACGCCACAAGCCCTGGTTCATGCCGCCGGTGTGTAGGATGCCTGCCCCAACCTCCTGATGGGCTGGAAGACAAAGGATCAGCTGCTTTGGAGTACATGCAGAGGTGATTCCAAGTAGAGGAGCTAAAGGCAAGAAGACGGGGCTTACTGTGTGACCTCGCCCAAGCCCAGGGGGTCCTTGGGCTCAGAGACCTTAGCACACTTCCATCATCTGATCCTCCGGCTTTTGCCTAGCACTCCATCCTGCTCCCAAATCTCCTCTCCAGATACTCCCGCCACTCAAACGTCTCCAACTCAGGGCTCCTATGTAGCCACACTCTTTAGGAGTTTTCCCGTCATTCCACGGACAAAGGACTCTCCCACTTTCTAAGCCAATGTAAGGTCCTGTACAGTGATCATGTCTAAACGTCTTTGAGTTGGGCTTTGTTGCAGCGACTTCAATTTTAAAAAAATAATTTTATTGGGGGCTCTTATCACAATCCATATACACATCCACTGTGTCAAGCACATTTGTACATTTGTTGCCATTATCATTTCTAACATATTTTCTTTCTACTTGAGTCCTTGGTATCAGCTCCTCATGAACCCTTGATAATTTATAAATTATTATTATTTTGTCATGTCTCACACTGACTGATGTCTCCCTTCACCCACTTTTCTGTTGTCCTGGGAGGGGGATTATATGTCAATCATTGTGATCAGTTCCTCCTTTCTCCCGCGACCTTCCCCTTCCCCTCCTGGTATCACTACTCTCATTATTGGTCCTGAGGGGTCTCTATCTGTCCTAGATTCCCTGTGTTTCCAGCACTTATCTGTACCCATGTACAGGCTCTGGTCTAGCCAGATTTGTAAAGTAGAATTGGGGTCATCATAGTGGGCAGGGGAGCATTAAAGAACTAGAGGAAAGTTGTATGTTTCATTGGTGCTATACTGCACCCTGACTGGCTCGTCTCTTCCTTGTGATGGTTCTGTAAGGGGATGTCCAATGGTCTACAGATGGGCTTTGGGTCTCCACACCACACTCCCCCTCATTCACAATGACATGATTTTTTGTTCTGGGTCTGGTACTTCAAATATCTTAGGTCCCCTCCTTATGCCACCCCTGCATGGCATGTGTCAGACTCCCCATTCAACAGATGGAGAAATCCAGGCTGAGACAAATCTGACCAATGTTTTCCACCAGTCGATATTGGGGGGGCTGGCTCACAATGCGGAGCTGTCTCGCTTCAAACACAGGCTCCCTCTAGGCTACCCCACGCGCCCCTCACAACGTCAAAGCCAGACACAGGCCAGGCCGTGCTCAGTACTCACTACTCGGCGTTGTCCCTGACGCTCAGGTTGCTGTTGTCCTTGGATCACAAGGAGGAAGTGGAGTGAGGGATCTGAGAAATGCTGTTCCATGACACTGCAGAGATGTGGCTGAGCTGGAAACTCAACAATACCGGAGCCCCAGGTCTACTTCTTTCCACCCTATCCCTGCAGCCTCACCTCCAGGCACAGTGAGGGGCAACTCCTGACAGGAAGGAATTCAAGGTGAGGCAGCAAGCCACCGTGTTTCTACAGCAGTCTCACTATCTTTTGGGTACTCTGCAGGGTCATCCCTTCTGGGCCTGGGTTACCTGTGGGTGCCAGGCATGGGGCATACAGCTAGGGCAGTGACCACAGGAGGCTCTGCTAGGGCAATCGTGACAAAGCGGACTCACGTTTGTTCTCACGGTGGAAGGACAATTCTTTTGAGTCCTCTCATGGCATCTGTTCTTGGGGCTAAGAATGCAATGCCTTGTAACCCATGAAGAAAGGGGACAGGCTGAAGAAGGTGCAGCTGGTGGGGAGCAAGAAGCAGCGCCCTCAGGTGTGGGATTTTCTCTGCTCTGAAATAGTGCACATTCTTCCCCGGCTGGCCTTTCAACACCAAGTTATTATTCCAGAAGGGCCCGAGGCACTAATGTGCACAAAATTCTTCCTACCCTGGTGTCCAGAGTATTGTGGGCTCACGCTGCATTTACAGTGAGGCCTTGTAATAGAACCAGACCAGAATGGGACGCCTGAGTGATCGCAGGCTCTCTCTGGAGGGCAGGGCTGGAGAGCTGGCGAGAGGGTGCGGGTGAAGAGAGTGATGAGAACCCAGGCCGGGCAAGTGCTGTCTGATGGAGAGGCTGTCCCCATACTTGGAAATCTGCCCACGTCTCCCTCACCGACGGGTCTTTTGGGAAACTTGCATGTCTGCTTAGATTTAACTTCTAACTCACTCTTCTTCCAATGTTCAGCCTCATGAGCTACTGAGATTAGGTCAGGAAGTTCCAAGACGTATTCAAAGGAAAACGGTGGGAAACTGAGGGACTGGATGAGAATGGCATGCAGCGAAATCCTCTATGCTCATAATCACGGGTCTGGTACGCTGCCTCCGGTGGGGGGAGACCCTCACAGTTATGCGATGTAAGTAAGTTTTTTCATAAATAAATCTTAATACACATTCTCATGACTGGACACAGTCCCTCCGCCACCCGCCATAAAGGAAGTGTCATAAAGGAGCTCCCATACAAGATGCCTCCGACTTGCATGTGCCTGCAGGTTATCTGCAGATGAGAGCAAGCAGGTTCCATAGTCTGACCCACCGTAAAATGTAGCAAACTGTCTTCTGACATCTTCTGATACCGATCATACACTGCTCCCCTGGGGAGGGCTCAGGGGCGGTGGAGGTCAACTAGCACTAGGTCATTTTCTTGCCTGTTCGTTGTGATACCTGCTTAGGAGATTACACATTGACTCCGTGATCTGTTCCCTGTAGGGCGTGTATGCCCTTTGAAAGATCTGTGAAGTCCCCTTACACACGCCCATTGGACAATACAGTCACTCTCTTGGTCCTGCCCTGTGCCCACTATTTTCCACCATCAAAAATTCACTCCAGAGGACCTGTTCGAGGGTTGGAGACCTGCACCCCCATGAAACTCGTCCTGAGTTTCAGGAGATGTGGCAACAGTGCTGCTCTAACAAAGGGTGGTGGGCGACGCGGGGGCTTCGGGACCCGCTCCTTGCTGACGCTGCTGGCGGCTGTCGGGTCAATTCTGCCTCAGGACGACCCCACACGGGCATGAGAGAACTAACTACTGCATCGGGCTGTGACCTTGGGAAAGCAGATCGCAGGGCTAGTCTTTCAAGGTGCGGCTGGGTGGGTTCGGACTACCAACCTTTCCCCTAGCAGGAGAGCGTTTAACCCTTTGTGCCTCCAGGGACTCAGCAGCCCTTGACCAGATGGATGGTGTATTCGTCTGGGTACTTTGGAGAAACAAATCCACAGCAACTCACATATAAGAGA